GGTCTTGGGGAAGAGACGAGCCAGTCAGGGTGTGATGTAGCAACGATGAAACATACAACTTTCCTCTAGTTCCTAAATGCTTCCTCCTCTCCCACTATCATGATCGCAATTCTACCTTACAAATCTGGCTAGACCAGAGGATGTACACTGGTAGATAGGAACCGGAAACACAGATGGAAGGGGGAGCGGGGAGGGAGGGGAAAAATGAGCTGATGCCAGGGGCTTAGGTGGAGAGTAAATGTTTTGAGGATGATGAGGGCAATGAATGTACAAATGTGCTTTACACAATTGATGGATGTATGGATTGTGATAAGAGTTGTAGGAGCCCCTAATAAAACGATTTAAAAAAAAAAAGAACAGAATTTGCCAGTAGCGGACATACTAGATTCCCAACCTTCCTCATGCCGCGACCCTTTCATACAGTTCCTCATGTGGTGGTGACCCCCCTGCCATAGAATTATTTTTGTTGCTGTTTCATAACTCATTTTGCTACTGTTGAATCGGGCAACCCCTGTGAAAGGGTCGTTCAACCCCCAAAGGGGTCACGGCCCACAGGTTGAGCACCGCTGCCCTAGAAGAATGGATAGAGGAAGTTCTCTAAACAAGGGGGCTGACAAAAGGGGGTGTGGCCATAGGAAGGATGGACTGGTTCTGTATCCTGAGCGAGTCATGTCCATAGGGATCCCTGGTTGTGATGCTGCCCAGTGGTGGTGTAAGCTGTAACCATCGTGGGGAGGGGAGTAGACAGTACACGGGATCTCCCTGTACCACTTACGATGGCATGGGAATCTACAGTGCTCTCAAAGTCAGAAGTTTGGTGTTGAATCATGTGAAACCGTGACTATGGGGCACAGGCTTTCCTTTCTTCTTTTAGACATTTTATCATGAACGAGTGAGAGGGAGAGCGCAGGTCATCAGTCTTGTGTCCAAGTCTTCATACAGTGTGCGTTTCAACTCATCCGTCACAATCCCCTCAACGTACCGTCACATGCCGCCCTTCCTCCCTGCGCGTCCTCTTTCCACTCCTAACCCTCTGAGCTGTGTCCTTGGGTAAACGCCACCCTTAGATGGCTGGCTGTATTCTAACTTGGGGGTGAGTTCAGTTCTAGACCTGCAGGGCGACCAAGTGCCAGGGTCTGGGGCGTCCCTCCAGTGTATCTGAGCAGTAAGCCTGGTCTCTTTTAAGTAAGACTGGACACATGTTTCTGTTTGTCTCAGACTCGAATACATCTCTGCACAGCCCTGCCTGGCCCTTGGTAGGCCCTTAACATCCTGGGTTCTCCTCCTCATGCCCAGCACAGAAGCGGGTGCCCAGTCTGAACACAGGCCAGCCTGCGGAACCACCAACTTCTCCTCCAGCCTTCCTTCCAGCTCCTCTGGCTCCCAGTGGTCTGTTGTCCAGCAGCTGCTGAATGTGCTGACTTCGAGACCACCAGCCACCCCATGGGAGGCCATGAGGCTTTCGACTCCCATAAGGAGTTAGTCTCAGAAATGCACAGGGACACTGTACCCTGTCCTATAGGATCGTTATGAGTCAGCATTGACTGCGTGGCAGTGAGGTTTTTGGAGTGGTCGTGATAAAGTGTGTCGTCAGGCCCACAGTTCAGGAGCTCTGGGGCAGGGCCTCTCTGGGTCCGCCCCCCACGAGACGATTTATGTCACAATCACCCAGCATGCTCGCATCAACGTCTACTCCTGAGCCCCACACCAGACCTAAAAACATCAGAATTTTAACTTAACTCCCCACTCCTCCGGTTCTCATGCACACTCAGGCATGAGAAGCAACAGAACTCGGCTTGGTCTGAAGTCAGGCTTTTCTGGGCAGTTGTCAGAAGGCCCCAGACTGGAGAGGACATTTTGAGAGGGAAGAGACTGCATGGGACCCTGTGCCAGCCCTGGCGCCTGCTCCAATGAGGTCATCCCTCCCCCTGCCCCTGCTGCCCGGGCGGGAGCTCACCGCAGTGTTTGGCTCAATGAGTCGGTGCTGCAGCTTCTGGGCATCTTCCCATTGGCCTGTGAGGCATAGTCGCTCCAGCTGGCACACCTGGGCACCCAGGACATTGGCCAGGGCACACACGCCCCCCACGGCTCCTGCCCGGGAGGAAGTAAGATGCAGAAAGTCAGCAGAGAACGCAGAACCCTGGGTCCCTGGAACCCCGGTGGTTATGTGTTGGGCAGCTAATTGCAAGGTCAGCAGTTCAAAACCCCCAACCGCGCCTCAGGAGAAAGACGGGGCTTTCTCCTCCCATGAACAGTTAACAGTCTCAGAAAATCACACAGGCAGTTCCACCCTGCCCTGTAAGATCACTGAGTTGGCATCAACTCTACGGCAGTGATTTTGGCCTGGAGTTTTGGGGCCCCTGGCACCCTTCGTGGGAGAGGGCCTGCGATTTGGGTGGCACCAGCTGGCCATGTCAGAAGCAAGTTCTGTGTCCACAGAGTACGGACGGATTCCCACAGAGGAGCGCTGCCTGCACGCTCACAGCGGAATTCTGAACGCTGAGTGCAGTGCTGCTCAGAGCTGTCCTGGGAGGAGAGGATGACAGTCCTTGCCTCGTCTCCAAACCTGTCCCCTAGGACATCTGCCACGTCACCCCTCCAGGGTTCCCCCAGAGCCCCGACTCCTCTGGCCGGGCAGGAGGCTGGGTGGATGGGAATCTCAGGGCTCCAGCCTGGAGCAGGACCAGGGCTGGAAAGAGCTCTGGGCGCCGGGTCAGGAGATGCGGCCTTGCCTCCCGTTGGCTGTGTGCACTTGACCAATCCACTGGCCTTCTCCACTTCTTTGCTCTGCACGTGGCCACGTGGCTGTGGTCTCAGAAGGCCCTGCCACGTCTGCCAGCCTGTGGCCGTGACTCTGATGCTTGGAAGGACTGACCTGACCCAAGGCCCAGTGGCCTCAAGGCTGGAGAGAGAAAAAGCAGACTGTTTGGAATGGATGGCTACGGCTGCTATGTCCTGACTGCCGGCCAGGTGGCCTCAGACTGCTCACAGCAGGTGGGCGGTGCAAACCCACTGGCTGCTCCACAGGAGAAAGGAGAGGCTAAGGCTGGCTGATGCACTGTGTTGGAGCAGGTGGACTCTGTCCTCTGGAGTCAGCAGTGGGGTCCCCGTGTGCTGGGCACTAAGGAACTCGCCCGGGGCCTCACTGTTCCTGAAACGACCTCCCTTGTGCACAGAGTGGACGCTCCGGGCCAGAGAGGTTGTGTCTTGCCCAGAATTACTCAAAAACGGAAACCCAACCCACTGCCATCAAGTCTACCCTGACTCACAGTGACCCTATAGCACAGGGTACAACTGCCCGTGGGTGTCCCAGACGTCACTCTTGATGGGAGTAGAGAGCCTCCCCCAGTTACTCACTGATTACGTGGAGGGCTGAGATGCCAACGCAGACCTGCCAGCCTCCAGAGCCCTGCTCTCTCCATCCTCCGCTCTCCGACACGGGGCAGGGATGGCTTTCCCCAGGGACATGGCACAGGGAGATGTACAAGGGCCCAGCCCTCCAGCCCAAATCAGCAGAAGCTGATCTGATGGGAACCTGGGCAGGCAGCATTGTCCCGGGGGGTGGGGTGGGGGGGCTGCAGCTGCTTCCTGTCTCCCTCTCAGGCCCCCAACCCAGCTCCTGCTCCCAAACGGACCAGAGCGGTGGGGCTAATGGAGGCTTACGATGCCGCCAAGGCTCCTATGGTGAACTTGTTCTGTCAGGTGCCAAGGGGTTGGTTCTGACTCCTCGTGCCCGTGTGTACAGCGGAGGAGGGAAGCACTGCCGGTGGCATCGTCCACTGTCCCAGCCCCGAGCCCGTGTGCATCGCGGGTTAAGGGTCTTCTTCCTCTTTTGTGTCGACTGCGGCGTGACCAACGTATGCCAGGGCATCCTCGAGCATGATGCCTTCCTCCAGGAGCGAGTCCTTCCCGAGAGAGCGCAAAGTCCAAAGCACCTTGAGAGAAAGCCTCTCCCTCCCGGCTTCTGGCCATCCGCCTTCCAGGATGCGATTAAAACAAAAACCACAGCGGCCCACCGCCCTTGAGTCAAGTCCAACTCGGAGCGAGCCTGTTACAGGAAAGATGGGACGTCTCCCTGGGTTTCCAAGGCGATCAGCCTTTACAGACGGCCACACCTTTCTCCCGCCAAGTGGCTGGTGCATTCAAAGGGCCAACCTGCCCATCAGCAGCCCCTGGTTTAACCCTCTGTGACAGCAGGGTTCCCGGGGAGGGAGCCCAGAGCTCCAAGTTAACTGCAGGGGCCCCTACAGGCATCATACAGGCACTGACCACCCCACCCTCACTGGCGGCACCCGGCACCCGTATGCAGAAAGACAAGCACAGGGGCCAGGTTCCTGAGGCTTCAGAGCAGGCTGACTGGCTGGTGCCTTGGGCAGCCCCAGCCCTCGGGGTCTCTCCCAGATGCCCTGGCATACGTTGGTCACGCCGCAGAGAGTTAAAGAGAGAGGGGCAGCCTACCCAAGGCGTAACTGGCCAGCAGGAAGCCAGCAGACCCAGCCAACACCTGGAAATCCTGCCTCCTGGTCTTATGAACGATCAGCCCGATCCTGGTGACCTGTAAGAGCAAGCCCCGGGGTGAGCGCGAGCTGGGGAGGGAGGAATGGCAGGGGGGCGGACAGCCTGTGTGCAGATAAAGCCCCGCAGGCTTAGGGACAGAGAGAACCCGGAGAGGGGCCCCGGCTTCGGTAGCAAGAGTGCCAGGGCCACGAAGAGGGAGAGGTGTGGCCGGCCTGGAAGGGGCCTGCCACTCACATCGCCGCCACTGTCCTTGATGCCCACGATGTTCGGGTGCTGAGACAGCGTGACCACTGCATCCACAGGCAGGTCCAGCCCCGTGTTGGCAGGGACGCTGTACAATACCACAGGGATGGGGGAGAGGTCAGCCACCTGGGACGGGGAGGGGGGAGAGATGGAAGTGGTCCAGGCCCCTGGAGCCTGAGCGACTGCCCATTACCAACAAGACTGAGCTGCAGCCATTGCGATGCTGCCTGGACAGGTCGCTCAGCACCGGACGTGGACCCTGGTTGTCAGCAGGGCTCCCAGGTGATGCTTACTGAGTGCTTGCTGTGTGCCGGACACCATCCTCAGCCCGGAGGCTCAGGATCTATTTCCTGCCTGTGACAGATGCTCGCAGCAGGGAGCACTGTTCTCATAGCTAGGTCAGCTGCCTGATGGCACACAGTAGCCAGTGGTGGCACCTCCCTGCCCGCCCCCCATCTTACAGCTGTAACCCGTGTGAAGTGGGCTCACTGCCAAGGAACCCTGGCTAACTGGCTAACTGCTAACTAAGGTTGGCAGCGCACCCACACACACCCCCAGATAAGACCTGGCTAGATTTCCTAAAGGTTATAACCAAGAAACCCGCCACCACCCCACCCCACCCCGGGGTGGGGGGGCAGTTCTATTCTGTCACATTGGGTCGCCAGGAATCAGAATTGACTCAAGGGCCCCCAGCAATAACAGCAGGGCCAGCCACCCACCCCTGTACCTTTCCCATCGCCCCACCCCCAATAGTTCCCTTGCTGAGGCCACTCCCACCACCCCACCCACCTTGGTGTAGTGGTGAATGAGGGCAGCACTGCTCATGCGGCCGCGGTAGTAGCAAGGGGTTACCACCATGGCCGCGTCGGCCCCGACCTGGGCCATGCTCACGGTCATCTCCACTGTGGCTTGTGTGGCTGTAGTGGAGAGAGAGTCTTCTCTATGGGGACGAGGGCAGGGGACAAGAGACCTGGGGCTGGGACCCTGGGACAGACAAGGAATGCCCCCACTTGTCTCCGGAAAGACAGAACAAGTAGACTGATGCCAACTCCCAGGGCCAAGGAGCTTAACCGCCCCTTCCCCCCCACGCCCCTACCACCAGCCGCCCCCCGGGGAGCTTGGCCTCACACTCGCAGCCGGAGCCAGCCAGCAGGAGCTTGTCCTTGGGCATGGCCTGGCGCACGCAGCTCACCACCTCCAGGCGCTCGATGCTGGTCAGGAAGGGGAACTCGCCGTTGGAGCCCTGGACCACGAAGCCTGCAACACATGTCAGGTCACCGTCAGCCGGCACCCGCCCACCTCCCACGAGCAGCCAGGGCCCAGCTTCCTAGCTCCCCAGTGCGACCGCTTACAGACGTAGCCGGCTGGGCCTTTCTTAGGAGGAACCTCTGGGTAGCTGGGAACCTCCAATTTTGGGTTCACCACCGAGCGCCTAAACTTCTGGAAAGTCACCCATCGGAAACTCACACAGCACACAGCTCTCCTCTCTACACATTGTTGTTAGGCGTCTCTGAGTCAGTGCCGACCCAGAGCAGCCCTGCCTCACCTGCACCGGATAAGCTCGGTGCCGTTCACAAGAAGTGACCTTTGCACCTCCTAGGGACTCTCAAAGTGACCTCACCTTGGGCACATTCTCGGTGTGTGTTTTGTTTTGCTCCACACGGCGCAGGAGCTTTGCCCATCGCAGGACAGGTCATGCGGATTCACCCATTCTCATTGCCGCGTCCCCTTGTGTGGAATAGCGAGGGACCACCGGGTGCTTGTCACCCCCCTGCCCCCGGGACATGTAGAACACATCCTCCTTCCTGTTATCACGAGCAAGGTGGAGGCAGACAGCTTCCATAGCATCCCCTGTGCACACGTGCCCGGGCGTGCAATTGCTGGGTCACGTGTGCATGCATTTCCACGTGTGCCAAGTTTCTCTGGCCCTTACCCGTGTCCACCCCACCCCCATGATCAGCGTCGAAGGGCCTGCCAGTGCTCACCCATGCCAACACCTGGTTCGGTGAGGCACATTTCTGACAATCTGCTGGGTGAGAGGTGCTATCTCAGGGTTCTCCTTTGCACGTCTCTGTTTCACCAGCCCCGTGTTGGAGAGGTTTCTCCGTTACCGGCCACCGCTACCGGCCCAGCCAGAGAACGTTTCTGAGATCAATTTTTCCCCCTCAACTCTGGGGGCAAAGTCACGTCCTCCGTCCTCCGGTTTTCTAAGGGGCAGCAGCTCGTAAACGCAGTGTTGCTGTCCGCTGCCCTCAAGGCAGGCACGCGCAGGAATGAACCTGGACGCAGTCCCGGGTCATCCCCATGGTATCAGGAGGGGCTCCTGGGCTCCTGTGATCCTTGAGACCACAAAGGATACCAGGGGACCATCATTCCATAGAAATTGACCTGGGCGAAGGGGAGGCTGGAGCCGTGCTGGCCCCGGCATCCCTGCTGTGCCCTTGTGAGGATGGACCGTCAATGTGACGTGGAGTTTCCCAACAGTCCGAGCTAAAAAGGAAACGGGCTCAGCTCACCGGTATGTAGGACCCAAAGGATAAAAGCAAAACAGCTGCCCCGGAGCGGCACAGTTTCCTGGCGCTGGGACCCGGAGAAATTGTTCCCGTGAGTCACCCTCAAAGGTACACAGTAGGATGAGGACACAGCTTTACCCCACCATCCTTTTCCCATGCTGGGAACAGAGTCCACGGGGCCGAGGGCAATCCCTCCCTGTGCCCCCCACCCCCCCATTTGTCGTTTTGCTGTCGTGACATTACAGGGGCCATCTGAAGGCCAACCACTCTTGGCTTCTGGTGGATTGCTGCCTGAAGATCCATATTTTTGTTGTTGTTGTTTCGTTGTCTTATTAGGAGGCTCCCTGTGTCCTGCTACTCCCACTGGGCCCTACCCATTCAAGGCAGAGCTGCTAGCTCTGGGCGAGAACCCGCATCCATCCACAGTCAGACCAGCACCTGGTATTTAGGGCTCAAGTTCTTACCACTTCTTCTATTCAAACGCCCAAGACAACTTCCTCACCAGACCCGCTGCTCACCTCGTTACTCTGCACTTTCCTGGTTGCTTTATCAGCCATCTGTCCGAGGGGTTTCTAGCAGGTGCCAGAACTAGCATCAACCCCTCTTGACTCACGAAAGGTCAGCAGAATTGATGGGGGCAGGGCTGGGGGCAGGGCTGGCTCCTCTGCAGTCCTTCTCCCACCACAGTCACTCGGAGTCAGGACTCTCCTCATCCCGGTGGCCAGCGGGATGTGATCCCTGTCCTGCGACAGACTCAGGGGCACCTGCCTTGAAGCGCAGGCCCCTTTGCTTGAGACTCTGGTTCTCACGTCAAGGAGCAGCTACCCAGGCCGGGCTCTTGAGCGGGCAGGAATGCCAGGCGGGCGGCGAGGGAAGTGTGGTATAGTCCGAGGAGCGCTGGCTGTTGCACAAGCCACGGCTGCCTCGGTGTCTCCGGTTCCTCCTCTGTAGGGCAGTGGTGAGGTCCTTTCCCAGCCTACCTGACAGGACTGTTTAGAACGATCCCCAAATCTGAGAATCAAGGGATTGTTGGGAAAGTCAAGTTCCTCTTGATTTTCTTTTTCCCTTTTCTCTTGCTTCTCTTTTCTGTCCTCCCCTCTCCAGATAGACAGATAATTTCAAACGAGTTCAGCACACACACACTGCCACAGGAGTCTCACCGACTGACTTTTGGGAGAAAGGCAAGAAAGCTGAAGTTAAGTGGCTTTACCAAACCAACTGCTACAAAGCCAGCTTCCCTTCTCCCCCCAGGGCTACCTGTTCAAAGCCAGGCCTGACGCGCCACTCTCCTCACCCCCAGGGGTTAGAGGAGAGGAGAGGGCCCTGTGTACAGCCGGGGCAGAGGACTGAGGCCAGCAAGTGGCCCAGAAGCAGGGAGGCCTTTGTGATCATTCGATTTTAAGTCAACACGAATTTGTGTGACAGTGTTACCCTGATGACACCTTCTTGGAGGTGGTGGTGGGGGATCTTTTGGATAAGAGAGAGATGGAACAAAGACAATTCTTCTTTTGCTGCCTCCACCTGCTTGCTTGTTGGGACTTTGTCTCCAGGGGTGACCCCGCAAGGGCCCCATGACCCTGAGAGCTGTCGGTGCCCGGCCACGTTTCCACTGACCTTAGATCCCTGAGTCTCTGCACTCACTTGCCTGTGACCAGCCTGAATTCTGCTTCCACTCTCGGCGACCTTAGCCTTCAGCACGGTGAATCTGAAGGCGGCCCTGGTGGGCATGGAAACCCAGGACTCGGGTTGGACTGGGCTGGGACACCTTCTTGATATGAAATTACGTCTTGGTAGGAAGTTCCTTCTTCCACATAGATGAACCTCACTGCTTTGCTTCTCTACACAACCTGGCCCAACACAGCCATGGGCAGGATGACTCACCGCCTGGCTCTGAAGTCAGAAAAAACAGGACTGGAGTCGCAGTGTGGCCCCTCACCAACCGGACGATCATGGGCAAACGGCTTCACCTGTGGTTTTAGGTGCGGGGGAGCCAGCCCCCCACCACTAACCACGGGTTCAGTAAGCACAATTGTACGGTTGAGATGTATGTAGATTATATTAAAGTCAACGAGACCATGAGAGATAAAAGAGATATTACAATAATGCAGTCAGACACATATCATAGTAGCATTGCTCACCTCAGCCCCATTTGGTGGTCCACATGGAGAGAGAGAGAGAGAGAGAGAGAGAGATGCCTCGATTGCTAACCCAGGCCTATATACCTTTTGGAGACGTGCAAGCCCACTAATTACAGGTAAAGACATACTTCACAGGAAGGGGTTGCACTATAGGTTATACAGCAATAAGAGGGGGTGGTCTAGGGACATACCCGCAATAGGAAGAGGAGGGATTGGGGGTATACATGTGACAAGATAGGTGGATCTTAGATTCACTGAGCAGGTTTGATCTGTTCTCTGATCTCCATAGGAACCATTAGCAGTAGGGTGTAAACCCCACCTATAGGAACCAAGCTAATGGTCACAAGCCTTAGGGAGAAGTAATCCTTTGCCCCAGCAGCAGGGAGCAGGGCCTACTCCCAGGTGACTGACCATCTTCAGGGAGGATGTCTGTAAGCATCTGACCTCCCCCCACATTCACCAAACTTCAGCTTCCTCAACTGAGAAACTGGGGCAATAGGAGCACTGAGAGCATCTCTTTGATCTGGCCAGCTAGAGACTAGTTTCCTAGGTTACATGTTGGGCTGCCAACTGTAAGGTCAACGGTTCGAGACCACGAGCTGCTGGAGAAAGAGGAAGCTTTCCATTCCCATGAAGACCTGCAGACTCAGAAACGCACAGGGCAGTTCTACTCGTCCTGCGGGTCACGGTGAGTCAGACTCGACTGGATGGTGGAACGTTGTTATTGTTGCTTTACATCCTAAATGCACTTCCTGTAAACCTGCTTCACTTTTCATTTTAAACTACTTTTAGAAAAGTTGCAAAGTAGTATACAGTTTCCACCCATCCTTCCCCCAAGAAAACATTATCGTGACTGGTGTCCAACTACCTGACCTACCCGAGGACATGAACACGGGGACACCACCACTCACTGGGGACGTGACTGGAACTTTAGCAGATGGACACATAGATACAGATAGAAAAAATATGTATATATTTAAGATTCCAAAGGGGTAGTTTGTGGGAAACTAACACTGAGGGAAATATGAGGACTACATTCCCTAACTTATAACAGAGGAAAACTGGTATTCCATGATAGGAAATCCTCCACTTTGATAAGTTAGAGGTAAAGTCCAAGTACATTATCCTGCTTTAAGGATCACTCCCGCAGATTCTCCCCTTAACAGCTATGCTGCCTGAAAGTGAGCATATGGTTGATTATCTCTCCCCAGAGAAGCAGACACTATGCTTCTGTTCTGTCCTCCCACCACGTGACCCCACCCTCCTCAATCCTTCCCCCAATACAGGTATTAGGTTTGCTCACCTGTGAGCTCAGAGACCATAAAGTAGATACCAGTCACCTTGTGATGCATTAACTACTGAATATGCGTGTCTTAAGGCTACCTATAAATGTCCCAAGAGAGTAAAGACTCTCTCTCACTTCTCCCAGTTCCACATAGTCCATCAAGAGGAACTGAGGTGAGCATGCTACCATAAAATGTGTCTGATTCCTTTATTTTACTCTTGCCTATCTTTCTTATCTTCTATGATTTTACTATAATCTCTTTTTTTTCAAATACAAGAGTTTCTCTTTTCTATGATTTCTTTTTAAAAAATCATTGTATTAGGGACTCACACAACTCTTATCACAATCCATACATACATCAATTGTCTAAAACACATTTGTATATTCATTGCCCTCATCATTCTCAAAACATTTGCTCTCCACCTAAGCCCCTGGCATCTACTCCTCATTTTAACTCTTCCCTCCCCGCTTCCCCCTCCCTCATGAACCCATGAGAATTTATAAATTATTACTTCGTTATATCTTGCACTGTCTAACGTCTCCCTTCACCTTCTTTTCTGTTGTCCGTCCCCCAGGGAGGAGGTTATATGTAGGTCCTTGTAATCAGTTACCCCTTTCCACCCCACCCTCCCAATATCGCCACTCACAACACTGGTCCTGAAGGGATCATCTGCCCTGGAGTCCCTGTGTTTCTAGTTCCTATCTGTACCAATGTACATCCTCTGGTCTAGCCAGATTTGTAAGGTAGAATTGGGATCATGATAGTGGTGGGGAGGAAGCATTAAAGAACTAGAGGAAAATTATATGTTTCATTGGTGCCACACTGCACCCTGACTGGCTCATCTCCTCCCCTCGACCCTTCTGTAAGAGGATGCCCAGTGGCCTACAAATGGGCTTTGGGTCTCCATTCTGCACTCCTCCCCTCATTCACAATGATATGATTTTTCGTTCTGATGATGCCTGATACCTGATCCCTTCAGCACCTCATGATCGCACAGGCTGGTGTGCTTCTTTCATGTGGGCTTTGTTGCTTCTGAACTAGATGGCCGCTTGTTTACCTTCAAGCCTTTAAGAACTCAGATGCTATATCTTTTGATAGCCGGGCACCATCACTTTCTTTACCACATTTGCTTATGCACCCGCTTTGTCTTCGGGATTGTGTCGGGAAGGTGAGCATCATGGAATGCCAGGTTATAATCTCTACACGGTTTTGACCCTTCAGTTGTCGGAGGCTAGTTTCTGCTGACAGTAGTTGACTCAGGTTTCATGCAATAAGCTTTCAAAAGGGATTAACTGTCTTCAAAATACTCGTTTTAACAGTCACTCTCAGGGGACCCTGCTCTTTGGTCCCCTAAATTTGGTCGAATTTAGTGGTCTGAAAAAAATCCCCAGGGCAATGAAGAGGAGCTACTACCAAGGGGCTCAAGTAGCAAGAACATGTTTTGAAAATGATGATGGCAGCATCCCTACGGTCCACTTGATGTAAATGATTTATGGATTGTTCTAATAACTGTAAGAGCCCCCAGCAAACTGATCAATTAAAAAACCCTGCTTCTCCCAATTAAAGACGTACAGTGAAACGGATCTATTTAAAATGGTGGGATAAATCCCGACTCATGGTGACCCTTACAGGATGGAGTAGAATTCCCCTAGGAGGTTCCTGGAAGCAGCTGACCAACTCTTTCTCAGAGTCACAAGCTGCTTCAAACCACCCACCTTCTAGTTAGGAGTCCAGCACTGAACCATCGGTGCCACCAGAGTGCTCCCTCTTTCTCACATACATGTGTGTGCATATATGTTGACACAGACACAGACACACAATCATGAGGGTAAGTCAGAAAGTATTGCCACTGAGGTTCCAGTTCTTACATACACGGTTTATTCCAAACCAAAGATGTTTAAATTCATCATTGCGATTAGTGGGTGACTGCAGGCAAGTTCTCTCAGAACACCCTTAATCCCAGTCTCATGAGGGGATCTTCAGAAAAAAAGAAAAACGATCCTTTTTGTGCACAGCTGGTGCTGTAGCACAAGTGTTGGGCTGTTAACGGCCATGCCAGCAGCACAAGCCCACCAGCTGCCCTGCGGAGGAAGGATGAGGCTGTCTGCTCCCGGAAGGATTCACTTAGAAACCCTATAGAGGACTGCTGTCTCTAAGTCAGAACCAACTCAAGGGCAGTGGTTTGGGATTGGGTTTCATGTGCATGTACAAGAGGGATTCAAAGAGTTTGTGAGAAAATTCTATGACCTTTTAATTCAGTTTTTCCACTTTTTTCCCCACAAACTTATTGAAGCCCCCTTTATACATATCACACACACACACACACACACATCAGTTCTAACCCATAGTGACCCTAGAGCAGTGGTTCTCAACCTTCCTCATGCCGAGAGCCTTTCATACAGTTCCTCATGTTGTGACCCCCCCAACCATAAAATTATTTTCATTGCTACTTCATGACTGTCATTTTGCTACTGGGATGAATTGGGTGGCCCCCAATTTGACCCCCAAAGGGGTCTCGACCCACAGATTGAGAACCGCTGTCCTGGAGACTAAAGTAGAGCAGCTCCGTAGGGTTACCAGGTCATAAATCTTTAGAGGCGCAGCCTGCCTCAGCTTCCTCCCTGGAGAGGCTAGGGGTGGCTGGGACAGCTTAACTCACCAGCGTCCCCCATACTCGTACATAGTCATCTACCAGGAATGTCAGTGTCCACCCCTCCTCCCGAAAGGACTCCATCAGACCAAGCATAGTCCCAAGCCTGACTCACTGCTTCTCTGAGAGCCCCCATCTCCTCCGAGGCTACAATAGAAGAGCAGCTACCACAAGAAGCTGCTCCTAGCCAAAGACAGGAAGGAGCAGGCTACACGAGGATGTATTGGTCTTCTCTGAGGCACTTGGAGCCCTGGTGGCATAGGGGTTACCTGTTGGGCTGCTAACCAAGGTCAGCGGTTCGAAACCACCAGCAGCTCCTTGGGAGAAGATGAGGCTTTCTACTTCCATAGAGTTACAGTCTCTATAAACCCACAGAGGCAGCTCTACCCTGTCCTGTAGGGTCACTATGAGTCAGAATGGACTTGACAGGTGGCTGTGGGCTTTTTTGGTTCCTTGGGTGGCACCTGGCCATCGTAATGCATCTGTCATTGTTGAAAGGACACCCCGGACCAGGAGCAGTGTCTCTGTAGAATAAGCACAGATGCTAGCTAGACCACCGTGGGACTGAAATACGTTTTTCATAATCGTGACCGCTAAAATCTTAAGTCATAAAGCTCATGGAAAACAAAACAAATGGCAACATCCATCAATCCTCTGCGAGACTCCTGTGCATCCCCCACCCCCACCCTGCTGCTTCTCACTCAGGTTTAAGGCCCACAGGCGGTGGCGGGGAGCCACAGATCATCCATAATAGTTCCAAATGCGAAGACGTTTCTACATCAAAGAGGCCCCGGAGCTTACATAGTGCCTTGAAGCTGCCTTCTCTCAAAACT